ACATCCCATCAGCTGCAAAGCTCTTACAAAGCCACCGAAAGACCAGAAGGCGCCACCATTCACAGGAGGATTTGTTCCAAACAAACCAACACAGAACAAGGTCTACTCGTTCGATCTGACCAAAGTTGATGCTCTGTTTGATGAGATGCTGGCGCAAAAGGCAATAGAGACACCCCATAAGCTGCCCAAACCAGAAGAGCTTAAGGGCAAGCAGTATTGCAGATGGCACAATTCTTGGAATCATTCCAGCAGCAGTTGTGTTGTTTTCAGAGATGTCATACAGGAGGGAATAACGGCAGGAAGATTGAAACTGGTAGAAAAACTTCCCTCAGTTACGACAGATCCTTTTCCCCAGCCTCAAGTTAACATGGTCAATCTAAATTGGCCAGAAAGAAGAGGAAAGAAGCCAGCAGCAGAGGCCAGTTCCAGCAGAAACAGGGGAGTCACAAAGGAGGATTTCCAAAGGCCAAAGGCGACCATCTCGGCTGGGATAGTATTATGCAGCAAGTGCAAGTGTGAGAGCGAGTTAGAAGTTACTCTAGACAGGCAGAATTAGCCTACACCCAGCGTGTTTGACCGGATTGGAACCTTGCACCAACAGGGCCTAGCTCCAACTCCCTCAAGAGACAAAGCCAGACAAAGGGATTACCTTAGGCCAGTTCAGCACAACAGAAGAATGCCAGAGCAGCCTAAGAAGGGAATACCAATCAGGATGCCCGGAAATGACAAGCCTTTGGCACCTATCATAGAGGGGAGATGGTATTCCGTTGGAAAAAGCGGCAGACCAACTCTGGAACTAACCAGAACTCAGAAAAGGAGAATTCAGAGACAATATTGCACCTCCCTTAGAAGCAGGAAAGACGCACAGGTACTGACAGAGCCAAATTCTGCCAGAAGAAGAGAAAATCCAGAAGGAACTCCCCAGGCAGAACAAGCAGGATATGAACCGCAAAAACAGATAAAGACAGAATCTCCAGGCAAACCCTCCATCCATTTGACCTCATCCTCAGTCGATCAACCTGAATTTCCACAAGTACAAGCTGGACCCGAACCTGTTCCAGAAGAAGAGCAACAAGACTGGACGGAAGAGAACGAGGAGGAACAGTTGGACTATGAGCCATCTGTAGAGGACCAAACTGGGTTCCTCGAGACAGGAGAACAGGGAGACTGGACAGAAGAGATGGAATATGATGGAGGATTAGATGAAGAAACCGAAGCTTTTGGTGCAGAATTGGGGAACCTATTACAAGGCGATCTAGGCATTAATATGGTGTTCATCTTATCGGAAAAATTCAGGGCAATGGAAGGACAAGGAAGCACTCTGGAGGGAGACGTATTCTCGCAAGAAAGCTTTGAGTGTAGACTGGCAGAAGTAGAAGAAGTGCCAGAACAGCAAGCACCTGCCGCCAGGACAGGTGGAACCACCATGAAACCAGTCGCAGAACAGCTCTGTTTCTCCAAGCCAACCAAGGAAATGGCTAATCACCTCAGACCTCTATTCATAACTGCAAACTTTGGAGGTATCCTTATTTCCAAGGTAATGGTAGATGGAGGTGCAGCCATTAATCTCTTACCACACAGACTGCTGAACAAAATGGGCAGAACAGAGAAGGATCTAATTCCCACACATCTGACCGTCACCAACTTTGCTGGCGGCATCACTAAAACTCATGGAATCCTGGATGTGGATGTTATAGTTGGAACCAAAAAGCTGAAAATTGCATTCTTTGTGGTAGACACTACTTCTACTACCTACAACACGTTGCTCGGAAGAGACTGGATTCACCAAAGCCTCTGCGTTCCCTCTACTCTGCACCAGCAGCTAGCTTTTTGGAATGAAGAAGGTTATATGGAGATAGTAGAGGCCGACCCACGGCCATTTCTGCCTTCTGCCATGTGTTTTGAAGCAAGGTATTATCATGATGACCTTGGTCCTTTCACCTTCTTTGGGGTCAACCAGAACGGCCGCCCTCACGGTGTCACGGCCCAAAGGCTCATTGAAGACGGTCTGGCCAGCTCTCTAGAAGACTGGAATAGAACTTTTGTTCTGAACCTCCAGAACTCCGATGTTTAGTCTCAATCAACAGGAAAAGGATCAAGCTGCAACAATCCGATCCATTACAAAAAGATTGTTGACGTACTGGGAAGAAAGGAAACTCATTGCACAGAATCCAGCCATTAATATGGCAGAGTTCACGCATGAGGGCATCGAAGAACAGGAAGAGAGTTTATAGGAGGAAATATTAGACTTCGCACCAGCAGCACTAGATGACTCCTTACCAGAAGTAGAAGATCCATTACAGGAGATTAATCTGGGGACAGAAGAAGATCCAAGACCTACTTTCATCAGCGCACTACTAGAAGAGCCACTCAGAAGTGAAATCATCGCACTCTTGCATGATTTCAGAGATTGTTTTGCTTGGCATTATCACGAAATGCCTAGATTGGATAGGAAACTGGTAGAACACAAGCTGCCCATCAAAGAAGACTACCTTCCAGTCAAACAGGCCAGGAGAAGAATGTCCATGGAGATAGAACTAAAAGTCAAAGAAGAAATAGAAAGGTTGCTCAAGGCAGGATTCATCAGGCCGGCCATTTACACTGATTGGTTAGCCAATATTGTCCCGGTTCTGAAAAGAAAAACAAGGGCAGTAAGGATCTGTGTGGATTACAGAAATCTCAATGAAGCATCCCCAAAGGATGAATATCCTATGCCAATGGCAGACATGCTAGTAGATGGAGCTGCTCACCACCAAATGTTATCTTTCATGGATGGCAACGCAGGATATAATCAGATCATGGTAGCAGAAGAAGACATCCACAAGACAGCCTTCATGTGTCCAGGACATCTAGGTTCTTTTGAATACACTGTAATGCCTTTTGGCTTAAGAAACGCAGGAGCCACTTATCAAAGAGCAATGAATTCTATTTTCCATGATATGATAGGACATTCTCTAGAAGTATATATAGATGATGTGGTGATTAAATCTCCGGAAGCAGAAAATCATGTATCAAACCTAAGAAAGGCATTCCTAAGGATGAGGCAACATAAATTGAAAATGAATCCTAAAAAATGTGTTTTTGGAGTACAGGCAGGGAACTTCTTAGGATTTTTGGTACATCAGAGAGGCATAGAGATTGACAAAAATAAAGCAAAGTCCATCATAGAAGCTCAACCACCGCGGAACAAGAAAGAGCTGCAGAGTCTTCTAGGAAAAATTAACTTTCTAAGGAGATTCATATCCAATTCTGCGGGAAAAATTCAGCCTTTTTCTTCCTTGTTAAGACTAAAACAGGAACAGACTTTCAAGTGGGAGGAGGAACACCAGCGAGCTTTTGAAGAAATCAAACAATACCTCTCAAATCCACCAGTTCTGTCCCCACCAAAGAAGGGCAGACCACTCAAGCTCTATGTATCCGCATCAGAAATGTCCGTTGGAAGCTTGTTAGCTTAGGATAACAAGGAAGGGAAGGAACAAGCAGTCTACTATCTGAGTAGAACTCTGACAGAAGTAGAAAGGAATTACTCTGCAATCGAAAGGCTTTGTCTAGCTTTGTACTACACTGCTGTAAAACTCAGACATTACATGCTGCCATTTACCACTTACATCATTGCCAAGACAGACCTAATCAAATACATGCTAACAAGGCCAATGTTGAGAGGCAGAATTGGGAAATGGACTCTGGCTCTGACAGAATTTGCTTT